TGCTACTCCTACTACTGCTACTGCTACTGCTACTGCTGCTACTGCTACTGCTGCTGCTGCTACTGCTACTGCACTGCTACTGCCACTGCTACTGCTACCACCACCACCACCACCACCACCACCACTACTGCTACCACCACCACTACCACTGCCACTGCCACTGCCACTACCACTACCACTACGGGAGTAGTAGTAGTAGTAGTAGTCGTCGTCGTCGTCGTAGTCGTAGTCGTAGTCGTAGTCGCAGTCGTCGTCGTCGTAGTGGAAGTGGTAGTGGTAGTGGCAGCGGTGGTAGTAGTAGTAGCAGCAGCAGCTGTGTCCCAGATCTTCTCTGGCTTCGGAGTCGTGGTATTGTACACTGACGCAGCATTCGGCTTTTCGTGAAACATGCACCGAGATGACCACGGGTCACACAAGTCATGGGACACTGATCTTGAGAACACCAGGACCACCACAGGCAAAACACCGGCCTCGGCCAACAGCTGCTGGGAGCATCAGCGAAATTGGCACACTCGAAGCCGGATTCCACCTCAGGTGTCGCACGGGTGCCATGAAAAAGGAAGGTTACCACGGGAGGAAAGCATTCTGCTCATGCCATGAGATGTTCGAACACCGTCGTTCTGTACTTGCAGTAAACGCATGCACATGAGTCGTAAAGCCGGCTGGTGCAGGGAGGAAGCAGCCCTGGCGCATGAAACTGCCTAGGCTCGCAGAACATCCTAACATCGTGGTATTTTCCTGAGTTCCTGCTACCAGCCCTTGTTGCTGGGGTTTCTTGCCTGGCAGCGACCGCTGCAGCCATCGAGACTTCGCAGGTTGCCGTCGTCGCACTGTTCACCCGGCTGTGCCTCGAGAGAAAAGCTTGCGATAGCTTGCGGCTTCCACTGCAGAAACGTGCTTCAATGCAGGGCCAGGGGGGCAGGCCATGGGGATTGCAAAACTCGGCCCGCAAGCTCTGGAACAGCACAGATGGGGTTGCACCTGGCCGTCGCCACAAACCGGCCGGCACCTGCGCTTACAATTCGCGGGCTGTGCAATGCTGGTAAGGATGAGATGACTGCACACTCGTTGGACCCGCCACTGCCACTCTGTATGTATCGGGACGATCCTCAGACACATGCACAGCATCGCAAAGTGTCACATGAACGAAAACAGCGTCGCTCTAGAGAATTCTAGACTTCTAGGCTGGATTTGCTCCGTTGGGCGACCTTGCAAGGTAGACGGCCAGGCGGGCAGCCTCAGGATCACCTGGGCAACATGCAAAATGGAAGCCCAAAATCCTGACCGTTGTGTCCCTTCTTCAAGATCGCGACTGGCACCATCCTCGTCCCAGATCAGGCCCAGCAATGACTGCCAGCTCGAGCAGGGCTCAATTGCCAAATTCTTGAAGAGTCAGAGTCAAAGCGCCGCTGGTGTCAACTTGACTCTACGGCTCTGCACAGGCGAAGGCGAAACCGGTCTTGCTTCATCTTCTACAATCGTATCACCTCCCGTGGATGGCTTCGTGTGTTGTGGAGGCCCTGTGCACAAACCAAAGTCCAGTGATCGATATGATTGATCTAATGACTGGTAGGCCTGCTCAATCAGACATCGAGTTGGGCCAAGCCTCTCTTTGCAGTCGCTCGACCATTGAAGCTTCTTCCTGCGGGGAGAAGCAGTTGTGGGCTTGGTCTCCGAAGAGTCGGCCGTTGCAAGAGACTTCGCCCAGCATCTGAACAGCGTGAGACTCGCAGCAGGAGGCAGAGGCAATGATTGAACCAACCCTACGGACACTGGCGGTAGCAATGCGAGCTTCAAGTAGAAGAATCAGCATACTAGGACTGTCAAGACTACCTTGAAAGCTTGCCGCGAACGGCTTCGTCCAAGGTTCAAGTTCAGCTAAAGGGCCTTGCGCACTTCCCCACAGATACTTGAGGCCCTGCCTCCGTGCACTGGAAGCCCGGCCGACATCCACCACAGGCGTCGAGGACAAATGCATGCGATTCCCAGAGCTCCACCTGCACAGGCCGTCACAGGCCCATTCGGAAAAACACCTCATCCTCTTGAAGCAGCATGGAATCCGAGGCCTACAAGCTTCATCAAAAGCATGCATGCATCGTAATTCCTGACTATGCCATTTTCACAGCACGAGACGCCAGTAAACGCCCCTGATACTAATCCTTCACCCAAGAATGGCTTGGGGTTTCGCGGTTAACCAAGAGTCTAGAAATTGCACAGCATCCGAAGAGCTGTGATGTCAAGATCGAGTCTGTGCTAGAAGGTGCGAGTTGAGCTCCTTTCCCAAACCTTTTCCTTAAAGCTTTCTCAGGACTCAGGCACCGGTGCCACCGGATAGGACGAACTGCAAGCTACAAAAGCCGCAGGGATGAAGTTGCCAGGGACTGCAAGGCTGCTGCAGGCTGCATGTGCGGAGGGGTTCAACTTAACAATAGGGAGAAACGCGTACGTACGGCAAATCATCGCGAGCCCTCACAGAATCGGACCCTGACCAGCAAGGGCTCTGGCAGCTATGAAGTCAAGATCCACCCCTGAACCCTCGAGGGCGTTCGGAGGCGGCAGCATCGTCGGAAGCATGGGCGGAGGCTGCAGTCCCTGTGTGACGTAGCGGACCTTCCAAGCACCGTAAATCTTGGCATTTCGAATGGGGTGCGACAGGGCTTGCACAAAGAGATGTTTGTCGTTCAGCCCTCAGCCCTACACCACGGCTTCATCTACCCCTCTCCTGCCCGGACTGAGTGCAGGATCTAGACCCAAAGCATCGCATGTCATCGCCTGGCGATCTGCCGGCGACGCCTCGAGACACTACTCTGGCACCCCACCCTCCCGCTGAGATTCTGCGCGACCGGTCAGTTCTCCGATGAGCACAGGGGGAGACGAACTAGGTACCAGACGGTCCAACCTTCCATCTGAAAGCGGTGCGAGCCGATTCCTGCACGACGCATGCGTTTGGGAGCTCAATAATGCCGTTAGGCAAGCGTTATTGGACTACAGCAGTCAGCACCTTTTCTTACTCTACGGCTCTGCGGCAGAGCACCTTCGATGTCCACCTCGATCCATTCTGGGTACCAGGCATCCATCCTGACAAACTTTGCTAGTACATCCCAGCTGGTAGGCCTACTCCGCTTTTGCATTCCTAGAACCAGCACTTCAACTTTCCTCTCTTGCATGTAGATGTGCCAAGGCCAGAGCGAATGGCTCACCACCTCGATGCCATGGGGGTTGCCGTCCACATCCAGAAGAACGGGCTGGCAACGGACAAACGAGAAAGCCACAACGCCAAACTACGGAGCTTGCGTTTTGGGCCGCCTCCGAGACGCGGTCCAAAGCGTCTCGTCGAGAAGCATCCCAGAAACAGGGAACGCAGAGGCTCAAAATCCGTCGAAGCCAGTCTAGCAAGAACCCTTCTTGGCTTAACAGCTGCAGGAAAACTGCGGACTTGAAAGTCGCACCTTCTCGAAGCCTTGAAGCTGCCCTGTGGCCAAATCCGTCAGTTGGAAGGTCGCAAGGACTGTCATCCTTAGAAATGAAATGAGAAATCAAAATTGGGTCAAACAGTTACGTAGAGTCGACGGGTTCGCTGCCGAAGCAGGAATAGTGACCCGATGGGACAATCCAACAATCCAATCCGGTGCAAGCTCCGATGCAGTCTCTGCATTCTGCAGTGATTCATCTCCGTGCAGCGATAAAGCGCGCATGGTGTCAGGCTCAGTCCATCAGTCACTGAGGCGTCAGAGGAGTTTCTGGGATCGGGGTGCACTCCGGGATTTGCCTTGAGCCGCTGGCGATGGCCAAACTTGGAAGATCTTCACCTGGAGGGAGCTTCGATGAGCTTCGTGTAAGCTTGGCGGGTGCCCAACTGCCGAGATGCTGCGCCTCGATCGGCCCGACCGACCCAGCATGGGCGGGGCTTCTTCGAGTCTGGGCTCGAATGCGGATCGTCCGCCTGAGTGCACGGGGAGGCTGCCTTGCAGGCACGCGCGACGAAGACGCAAGCGCTCAGCGCGTTCGCAACAGGTTAAACAGCCACCCACACACTGAACTGCTCGCAGCTTGCCAACGTTCTCAGCTAGTGCTGAGATTCTGGCGTAATATCCTGCTGAAAGGTGCCAAACGGAAGCTGAGCTGCGAGAGACCCACAATTAGGCACAGGCAGGGCTGTGCCGGCAAATCAGAGGGCAAGGCTTCCAGCTGTGCGTGACCCTGTCTCACGAAGGAAAGGTACCTAGAGGCACCGAGGCACACGTCCCGTCCTTCGGGAAAACACCCCAGAGACCAGGAGGAGGATGCATCCTGGTCTCGGGCTAACGGCACTTTGAATTCGAAGTCTCTCGCCGCCCTAAACCGCCAAAAAGGCTTCAGATCTACGCGCCAAACGCCGCATTTCTCTAGACTGTGTAAAAAAGGCAGCATTCCTCTCTGCAACAACGCCGACATCCCAAAAGTCCAAGGTGGCCACGGACGCATGTCGGGCACCACCATCGGAGCCTGGAGCCTTCGGGCCCATGGGATGAGGGATGGGCCGAAAGTATGAAGCAACGTACGAGCACCGACGTTCAAATGGCCGACTTCCTGCATGCTCTTGACGCATCTTAACCTGCAAGAAATGTTACCAAGATGATGCAAATTCGAGTGAATCTTCAAGGTACGGGAAATTCTGGCGAGTTGACTTGAGATACAGGTTTGGCACGGCTGGCACACCCGTGTTGGTATGATTCTGGAGAGGTTAATTACGGTCAGCCTTCGCTAAGCCACTGCCCAGTTGGCAGTGCTGCATCTGCACATCTGCACTGCGATCCAGCACTGCCCAACGTGCACATGAGACAAGTGAGACAAGAGTCTCACAGGTTGAGGATGTGTGGATCAAGCCTCAGAACCTGTCAGTCCTGCAACTGAGTCGAGGAGCTTGTGACTGAGCATGGCCGCAGCAGGTGTTCAGAAGCTCCACTTAGTAATGGGCCAACGTTCTACGGACGATCGGAGAGCTCTGGGCATTCAACCATCTCTGCTGATGGGCTTGCAGACCACTCGACCACTCGCTAATTCTGACAATGTGGTACCTGACCTTTGTGAACAAGCGACAGATGAGCACCCGGCACAGGCTCCGTCCCATCTTGCCGCGGAATTGCCTCATGGTTTCTCTGCTCGATGTCAGCGATGTGATATAACTAGAATTTAACTGAAGCAATCGAGGCTGCAAGCAGTTTTGGAGTTTCACCACCCCACCAAAGCCCAATGTTCGCTTTGCAGAAACGATCCAAATTTTGCGCTACTGTGCAGGTGCAACGAATTGCGAAGTCTCAACGAAGCTCCAGATCTCCAATGCGAGGTTCCGGCAACAAAGATGGAGGCAATGTCGGTGTAAAAGTCCTCTTCCAGTGTGCCATGACCCGAAGCGTTCAAGCCCCGTTCAATGCAATCTGCAGAATACGGCTGGCGACCTAGCACAGAAGTGAAGTTGCACAAAGCAGGCTTGGCAAACCTTGAAGTCTATCCATGTGAGGACATGCTAGTGCTGCATGTCGTGGCCATTCAACAGTGTCTCAAAGGTTTGGCATCCGAATTCTCCTCGCCGAGTTGGCAACATTGTCCAACGTTTTTGCCCTGGCCTGGAAGATCAATGGATTCTTGCATTGGATAGAGCAGTAGCGTGCGCTGCTCAAAGCTGAATGAGCTTCACCCTGGAGCATGCATGGTTCTGTGACCACTGAGCAAATACTACCTCTGCATCATGACCGCTCTTCTAGCAAATATTTTGACTCCATCAGCATATGCTGTGGGGGTGCTGAGATCCACACCACAGTAGCAGTAGCAGACTCTGTACGCTGCCGGCCTGGGACGTGATCACATCCCGACCACTGAAGTTTGCATGACTCCCTGCCTAGGTCGTGAGATCTGTAGCCCTAACCAAATGTTGAATATGTCCCGTCGATCAGTTTGCGAGCACAGATCGTTGAATATGTCAGTACATGGCCTTGGCAACTTTGGACGGAAGGTCATGTGTTCGCAACATGTCATGCAGCGCAATCTGAAGCTCTTACTGCAGGCCCAGGACCTTGGACATGACAACGGAATCAAAGAAGCTGTCGTGGAAGCTGCGGATAGCACCGGTTCCCTTCTTTGTACTATTCAAGCTCATCCTTTTCGCGCCCGTGAGAATTAGTCAGAGTCATGGGTACACAAAGTCTGCATTCAGCGCATGCGCCCCGTGGCTCCTTGCCTGAGGAACTTGATGTTTCTCCACCTGCGCCGCATCGACATGAAAGCCACCCTGCTCCCGGAATCACACTGCGCGAGACCCTGGTGCCTGATTCCCCGGCCCATGTTCACGACTTGGCTTGCTTGGTTCGGCAGCAGGCCGGAGACATCAAGGCCTCGAGCCATTCTCGCAGTTGCACTGCACAGAGCTGCAGCATCCAGTCTAGCTGGAGCCTAGACAGAGTCGCTCGAAGCCTCTATGCAGCCCAGCCGCTGCTTTCGTCTGAAAACCGGGTTCCGCAGCGCGTATAGTCGTCCACAATTCTAATGTACTCCTGCGGCAAGCTTAGCATGTACTTCGCAACGAACTCTGCATGGTCCGGCTGCAAGTCGGAGAAATCCCGGTCCCTCCCATCGAAGCCGATGCCAGCAAGCTCCACGTCGTAGAAGGTGTCGTTTTGCCCGAACTGTGCCAGCTGCAGCGTTTGCAAGCTAAAAGCTGGGGGCTTGGCGGGCAAGCTCCTACCTGGCATGGACGCAATGTTTTCTATCCTTGCGAAAACGATCTGTGGATCCGCATCTTGCAGACAAGGTAAAGGAATGTAAAGGGCTTTTCACCCTGAACTGAAGTTGAAACTTTGAAGACGCCGTACTCCCTGAGCACTTCAGGAGTTTATCGGCGAGGGCGCTTGTAGAGCTCAGACAGCTTTTTGCTTGGAATGCAAAAGAACAAAGCTCTAACTCTGGAGCAGACTAGGCAGGCCTCCACATGGATTGAACCCCGTTTCGGAGGTACAAGAAGGTAAGTTTGACCACGTCCTGCTTGTAAACTGAAACTCACGACGCAACACGAATCTCCACAAGTTTGGAACTGGTCGCAAGGAAGTGGCTTGAAAGTGTCGGCCCTTGTAGCAGTTTTCTGATGTGGCTAGATTGCCGCGCTGCAAAGCCCTGAGCTTGTGCCAAGCGCAAAGCTATGCGCAAAAGGTACATCCGCCAATATGTTATGTTAAAACGCGGCCGCTTTCGCACATCCTGCGCTGGCTTGTTCCTGACCTCCTCACTTCTGGAAAGCCCGGGAGCTGCGCATCGCACGTGTTGCTTCGCCCACGGCCTCGCAGCACACAAAGGCCAGGGAGGCATAGCTCCGGCTCATGTAAACGATGCTTCGGTTCGTCGTCGGGCTTGAAACACTCTCGAGGTCGAGGGGAGGGCTCACAGGAAGGTGAAGTTGCATGAGCAGCAAGCATTCAGAATTCATGCTCGCGGAAACTATACAAACAATACAACCATGACGTTTATGGACACGGAGCAGTCCCAACCCATCCCGGTGCCGACAGCTTGGGAAGGCCCGACACGCTGCCGTCTTTGAAGTGCTTGCCTCAGGTGTTTCGAGCACTCAGCTCTTCCGCACTGTTGAGCACCAAGCCTCCTATTGTTCCTTGGCCGACTCTTTGCAGCTGCACCCTGTGAACACTTCGGGTGGCTGGCTGGGTATGTCTGAGACATTCTGAGACGGATTTACGGAATCAGGCTACATTATCTACACATCTCCGTCGAAGGCTTGTAGCGTACCGACTGGTTTGCTCGATAATGTCCTGCGGAACAGCACAAAAATGCATAGCTCAAGCTCTGCCTTCCCATGATCCCACCGATCCTGTCGGCATTACTCAGTCTTTCTTCGCCCCGATTGGAAAACGAAACCTATGTAGACGACCCAACGAACTCAGACCGTGAAGTCGCAAGCATTCAATGAGGCCGGCGACGAATGAGCAGTGGTCGGCCGCAGGGAAGAAAGTTGAAGGAAACGCAGCAAGCGACTGCATGAAAGGCATAGCGGCAGAGCTCAGCAGAGGTGACAGAACAGCCATGACATGCGATGATAATCATGGTGGTGAGCAGTGCGCAAAGTTGCAAATAAGGTAGAAAGACATGCGACCTCTCTTCCGGACAAGGTGCTGGTCACTGCGCCTTGGCTCAGGAAGCAAGCAAAGTCCTTGGCCTCCGCAGACCAGTCCGTCCACCTCCTGGGTCACACGAATCTCACTCCCCGACCCAAAAAAATATGCAGCTCACTACAAGCCTCATCCCAAGACCTCTCCTTTCTCAAACAAGAGAAGCGGCCAGGCTTTGCACTGCCCCTGCTGTTCACAGAGTTGGCAGCACACCCGGGGATCCTGTCGGCACCGCGGAGTTGGGCGGACACACCGAAGCTTCGACACAGCCCGACAGCCCCGAATACGGTCTCCTGGACGCCTTTCCTCATCCTCAGCTACAATCGGACGAAATACGGCCCAAATCTTTTGCTGCGAGGCTTACTTCAGCTATCTTTTGTCAAGCACGCAGTTTAAGCATTCGACGTTCATTGGCTGATGCGAGAGACAAAAGCAACCGGGGCTCTGGTACCAACCCCCTTGCACAGAGTACTCCGTCTGGGGCTCCAGGAGGCAACCATCGGAGCCCTGAGCGCGGTTCAGCCTGGGACTGCAGACCGGGGCCAGCCTGAAAACGCAGAGACAAAAGCTTGCACAAAGCATTGTCAGCTGAGCGCCGCACACTTCGACGGAGAACTTGGATCCATCCTGACTAGCGTCATGAGAACGGTGGCCGAATGCATGGAAAGTCTCAAGTAAGGCTCAGATCTTCCGTGCAGCTAGGACCCACTGCCAGCTCCAGTACCGCATGCAGTGGGCACTTGGATGGATGCTGGCAAGTACATCGTCGCCAATTCTGTAGATGCTGATATGATCACCCCCCGTTTTTGACAAACCAGGTCTCATTGGTGGTCCCACTGGCAGCTTGTGGCAGGCGGCCGTTCATGATGCACTGGATGTTGGCGAGGATTACACGAAAAAACAACGAACAACGTCTGCTTTCTGCAAGCAGATAGGATGTTGGATTGCCATCGATGGCATCAACCCGCTCCAACTGAATAAGCGTTGTCCCACAGTCGCCTCCATGGGCCCGGGACTGGCGGCCACCGGCGCCACGGCCACGCCGCAGGGCTTCGGGCCTGAGTCGATCCGTTGCTATGGACGGCTTGTCACATCTTCTCAAAGCATCTCAAGGCTGTCTGGCTTGGCTTGTGCTGTGAGAGCGTACTCGAGGGACTGGCACCTAGTCGCTCAGGGCAGGCCTGATGGACTGCCACGGAGGCCGCGCAGACCCTAGTTGTTCCATTCTGTGCCTCGGGACTTTCGTTCCTTCCAGCCCAGGCTTCATGGCTGAGGTCTTTCCTCTTTAGGGTCCGCCGCTCTTTTTGAGGTGAGGACGCGGGGTTTAGGGCCTGAATGGGCCTGACGGTCTGCCAAACGAAAGCGTGAGCACGCATCAGTCTTCAGACCGAGCCAGCCCAGCACTCATCTCATGCATGGCTGGTGGGGAAGTCTGGAGACCTTGGTTCTTGGTCTGTGCAACAGATCGATTGCGCTTGGCGACATCTCCGGCCGATTATTGGATGCAGTGGAATTTGCGTGTGGTCTGTCCTTGCTGTAGAGTAACTCTTCTTGCAGCTTGGGCTTTTCCTTGTCTGATGTGTGCAGTGTCATCGGCTTCCTGCCCTCTTGTTGATTCTTGGGACGCTCTTTGCTTCCTTGGCTGTCGTCTGAGCTTTGCTTCTTTTCGAGCATTTGCCAGGATTTTGGAATTGAATTTGTCTCTGTTGGTTTCCAAAGTGAGCACTGGAGTCAATTAGGTGCTGAGTTTTTCGTGTCTGCCTGAATTGGTTCGCAGCAACTCTGGGGCTCCAAACCCACCCAAGGCTGAAAACACGAACCAACGCAAAAGCCTTAAACCCTATGTAAACTTCCAAAGCCGGGAGCAGCATGACCCCGAAATTCAAGAAAAAATATCGAAAACTCGTAGGCGACAATGCAGGGTCCGAGATTCTGAAACCAATTCACAAAACAGGATGAAACGATCCGGAAAACCAATAGGAATGCTGGAAGATTTTGGTGGCCAGGTGGGTGTGGGAAGTCTTTGCGTGTTGGAGCCTTGTGGGCCAGGTGGCTGTGAGAAGGGGTTGACCGAGGCCCGTGAGTGAGCTCAGAGCTTTTGGGGACGGTTTTATGGCATCATGTCTACCTGGGCCGGGGTACGGTTTTTCTTTGGGAATCCCCTCAGTCTAGGTCGGTGGGCGCAGTTGAGCACCAGCGAGACCAAAGAGGCAGGGTCAGCACTGATGTATGATTTCCCCAAACCCGAGTTTTGCTCGCATGGCACGCGGGCCCAACCCTCAGAGCTGCTTTCTTTGCAGCTGTCCCCAGATTCCCCGGTCCCAGAGCCAAATATCCCAGCGCCTTTCAAAATCCTCCAGTGCCTGTCCAAGGCCTGGAGCGGGGTTTTGGGTTTAGCTGCGGCCCTCTCCTAGCACTCGGGGCTTTGCGGTACTCCCACTCCTTTTGGGTTTGGGGTTCGTGGTTTGGTTTTGCCTTTGTGTCCAGCATAATTCAAATTTTGGGGTTTGGCTATAAGGGGACGGTTTACGTTCTAGGGATGGGGCCCTGGTTTCTGACGTTTTGTTGCCAAAAGCGTCGCGAAGTGCTTGTCCAGGTGGTTTGGATGGCATGATGTGATGCTGTTGGGCTGATGATGATGTTGTGATGTTGATGTCAGGCTGTCTCTTAGTTTGCTTAGTTTGAGCTTGCACTGCATGGCATGATCTGAGGTCTTCAGTATTTGGCCTTAAGGTTTGTGTCCTCCGGCAAAAGCGCGATCCATTGTAAATTTCAATACTTTGATTGGCTCACGTTGATCTCGAATTGACAGGAATCCCGGGCGTGTCCGCATCTTCCGCCGGTAAATTATGTGGGATGGATGCTGGCCGGCCGGCTGGCTGGCCGGCCGGCTGGCTGGTGGGTGGGTGGCTGCATGTGGGGGGGAGGGATGGTGATGTTCGAAGTGACCTCGCTGCTTTGAACAACCTCGGAACACTCGTTATCTAGCTTTAGCTGAGTGGCTTCAGCGTTCTGGGTTGAGGCTTTGTTTAGGCTTTATTTGTACAGGGTTTTGATTGCTTCAGGATACAATGTGACATAGATTTCGGCCGAGGGGTCACATGGATATTGGCCCAGAATGGGCGCGTGCAGCCTGAAGACAATCACGCCCGTGCACGCTTGTGGATGCGCCCCCAGGATCCCCTCAGCCAGCCTATGCTCCGGGAACGAACCAAGCCTAAGAATCCTCGAACTATGCTAAAGCCATAATTCCATCTGCAGAAAGATTGCGCTGTACTTCCAGCGAAATGCTGGCAGAGAGATCAGCATGCTACAGTTTCAGGCTGGGCTGTCGGCACTTGCCAGGGTTGTCCTGGTAGACCACCGCCTGGAAGTGCTCCATGGAGGAGTCGGGATGGAGGTCGGGATACCACCTCGGTTTCTGACAGGACATAGCAGGACCGTCCTTGAAGACGGGCCGGGCCTCACAATATTCAGAATCACAATACCGTACCCCCAACACTGGAGGGTCTCCCCGCACATGCCTGAACAAACACGATTCCGGGGTTTAAAAAGGTCCCCAAACAGTGTGACAACACCGCGGGGTTCTTGTATTGGAATTAAAGGGCATCAGGCTGCTGAGTTCTGCAGCATGCGGTCTCCGAATCCCTACGATTCTGCGGGTGATGCCTTCAATTCGCTCGAAGTGTCTAAAGTCCTAGCAAGCCACCCGTCCTTCGGCCTCTCGGGATTTTCCACACGCCGTTCTGCCCACTGTCACTTGGCTTGGGTGGTTGGACTCGAGATGTGGTGTTTCAGGCGGTGTCTGCTAGGGTCTTCACTGGCCTAGCAAGCGGAGTGTTACAGCTGTCTATCACGGGTGCATCTTTATCACCTTTGATGTGCGGGAATGAAGCACAACCCCAGCAAGCGGCCGACAGGAAGCCCTAGCTGCTTAAGACGTCAAGGGCGCAACTTCTCGTTCAATGCAACACGTAATTAAGAAAGCAAGGCCGTGGCTAACTTTTGAGCATGAATTAATATGATCGTTTAAGTTCATCAGTTAACGTCGGCCAGCGGCCGTCGCGGCTCTGTTGCAGCAGAAACCAGCGCTGCAGCATCTGGATGCAGGCAGAGCAAGAGCAGGACACAGGTTCTTCCGTCATTGCTCTTCAGATCATTTGGTGAATCTTGTGAGGCAAGAAGGATAAGAGCTGCGGAGGCCAGCCAACCACGATTCCCGGAAGAAGGCTGTGAGACTGCCAGCCGACAGTTCCTTTGATCAGTGTAATCAAAATTATACATCCTTATGACAAGCAGATTACCCGGGTAGAGAAACTGGACGCCGTGGCTTCAGCAAGCCAGGTCCTCTTTTCTGGCTGTCGTCATGCTTTAGGCCGATGTGCAAGCAAGAAGCACGTATGCTATGCCATCTAAACAGACAGCCAGAGAGGCAGACAGTTCGTCTTTCATCTACTAGATTCCAATTACAATCCCTGGACACGACAAACAGAGAAGACAGAGAGAGCGGGAGAGGGACAGAGAGACAAAGGGAGAGAGGGAGGAGTGAGAAGAGAGGGAGGAGAGGGAGGAGAGGGAGGCAGGGAGGTGGGGAGGCGGGAGGCAGGCAGGCAAGCAGGCAGCCGGCAGGGAGGCAGGCCGGCAGGGAGGGGAGGGAGGGAGGGAGGGAGGGAGGGAGGGAGGGAGGGTTGCATAAGAATGCTGAGGTTTTTGCTCGGGGTGCTGGAAGATGCCCTGCGTCATGGCCCAGTTTACCTCATCCCAGCATGTCTCTCCTGCAGGGAATGCGGTGTTTCCTTCTCAACAAACATCAAGATCATAAATGAACATCAAGATATAAATCTTTTCAGTGGCTACGCAGGCTCGGATCCTGTTAACTGGAAAATTGGCGTCTGCAGGCATACCAGCGGAAGCTGGGAAGAGCTCTCCTTGTTTGGTGGTGTGACAGTTGGTGTCCACAGACATTGCCTGAGCCAGGCTAACTTGAGATTCCAATTATCCGCTGGCAATAAAGGTTCCTACAATCAGCCTTGGCAGCTTTGACCGGGACGAATTCCTGTCTGGATCAAGTTTCAGAGGCGGCTTTGGCTCGGTTTGGGCTCGAGCGTGGGAAACAGAGTTGTCCTGAGTTCGACGGGGCCGAGACCCCACGTTGATCACCGCTGAGATTGCCTCGTCATGGCCAAAAGTGCAGAACTGCAGGAGACTGAGACTCTTTGGCACTGTGCCGCTGGCATGGTGGTCGCTACCACCCGAGCCGAGGTCCGTGGTTGACACCACGTCGTCCTGGGCAGAGAGCTGAGGCCCTTAGAGACTTAGGATACTTTGCAGCTTTCTGGGGCTTTCAGGATCTTTCAAGACTCTTGGATTCAGCTTTCCTGGCTCGCCAGGTTGGCGAAGATGTTGTCCACGCCACCAAAGGACTGGGAGTTGTACCTGATGCAGCCCGCTCAGGCTCATGGGAACAGCGATGCCTTGAGATCATCGTAGATATTGTAGTTTGGAAGAAAGGTTCCTGGCACATCTGGCCACACAAAAAGCCCGGGAGTGTTGCGCAAACTTGTTCTTTAACCAGTACGACACTCCTTGAATACTTGTTCGAACCAGTCCAACAAGACACTTCCAACCATAACAATTGAGTAAATCACAAGTGTAGCGCTGCGCCAGGGCACACATGGTGCAGGTGCGGCCACATCGCCTGTCAAGCAAGACTGGTCATCATCGGCACTGGAACCGCGCAACTGCACGCCTAGCCTGAGGCTTACCTTCGAGGTTTTGGATGTTGTGGGGGCAACAGTGGTACGTACCTATTCGCTAATCTTCGACATCCCGCCGGCAAGTAGCTGCACGAATTTGCGAAGAGCAAAAGGCAAGGTCACAGCTTGCAGTCTCAGAATCTAGAAAATCTTGCGGACACCCACGCAAGAAAAGCTCAAACTAGGAATACTTCTGAAATGTGTGGCACTGTCTGACCAGCCTTGCACAATCCTTTGAGCTTTAGACCCAAGCCTCTCGTTACCGGTACTGTGAACATCGTGATCATTCGGGGAGAGAACAGGACTTGATTGCATTTGATTGCAATGGATTGCGCGGCATGGTGTCTTGCTTGGAGCTATCCTTCGCCAGCTACCTTCACATCAAGAGCCGTTCCGACAACACTGGGATATGCAAATGAAGAGCCTGCAGTGTCCGCGACGCCGCGTTCGCGTTGAAATCTCCAACCAATACCAGAGTGTCGCCCACCTGCGGGAAAAGTCAGGCCAAAGCCAGGCTCCGTGGCAGCAGATGGCGCCGGCAAGTGCAAGACTGTTTTGGACTACACTGCTCGTGTCACTCGTGTCTGCGCCAACCCTCCGCGTCACGGGGCAAGCGGGGCTTTCTGCAAGTTTAGCTGACTACTCTCTCGCCATGACCCTGCAAATTCTTAATGCGCAAGGCCTTCTGGGTGCTGTTGCCCCGAAAGAGGGAAGCCCACCCGGAAGCACTATCGCGAACCCTACACGCCTTTCGGCGGTCAGTTTCGTTCGGGCAGTCTCGACCGAGTTTGGCATAGGCGCTTTGCATCTCTGCCCTGACGTGCAGCTCGCCTGTCCGAAACGTGCCATGACCTGCAGGATCTTGTGCGCGGTGGCCTGCAGTGCAGCCCAAGCTCCGAGCTCTGCTCGAAAATCCGCGAAACATTTCTCAATGCCTTGCCACCGCAGAGGCCCCCGGAGTTCACGGAGAGTGGGCCATGGTGATTCCTGAGAAGGAAGACATGGGATGGCCTCTTCTTCCGGCGCTAGAACACTATGTATACAAAAAGTCATTCTTCGGATCCTTCTCAGGATGCCGCATGCTACCTTCTTCAGAATGCTTCATGGGCAGCGCTTCTGCAGGTCTACGGGCTGACGCTTTGCAAGATCGTGAAGCACCTTTGAAGGCAATTGAGGAAGGAAACCTAGTCCGGGGCAGCAAGTAACGAGTCGGTTTGCTAGCTTCACCTTCATGCTGGCCTACCAGCTGCGGCAGCCCCACATCCGGCAGGCTCTAGACTCTAGACTCTGGTCGACACAAAACATGCATCTGCAAATCTCGTCAGAGCCACACGAACAGGAGCTTCCGCTTCGTGTCCTGTGCCGTACACAAGGATCAAAACTCGGCATCACACACACACAAGTTCACAATATTTCACAATCTATTCGCCGGCTCTTTTGAAGAGGGTCGCGTCAGTGGTTGAAGCTACAGTAACCTCATCTCAACGGTCGTAGACGGGAGTGGCATTCACACAGGCCCCAGCAAAACAAAGGCACAGGTACGGGGTGGGCGTTTATGGTTGCGCCTGTCGTGAACGCTATGCTTGTTCTTCGGCTGTCTTCTTCTGGGTCGGGCTGCCGTGGCCGACGGGCCGTTTGGAGGGATGTTGTCGGAGTCGAAGTTGTGTATCTGTGAGGATGCAGTTACCTGTTCCTCCCGAGCCCGTGCCTTGTGCTCCAGTCTGAGCCACTGTGTGCCGCGAGTCCCATAGTACTCCTAAGTTACACAGTGTGCCGGAAAGGTTGAGCTCTTGATGCTCTTGCTTCTTTGCAAACGAAGGGCTGTCCGCATGTCTTGAGCCACATCTGCTTCCTTGGTTCCAAGTGTCTGCAAGTCTTTGCAAATTGCAACAGCTCGACATCATCCAGCTAAGCTGCACCATGACTTAGCAAAGACCTAAGCAAAGCCACGCGAAGCAAGAAACAATATCGGGTTGACAGATCTCGGCTGCTTTGCCAGCGATGGGGAGCAGCCAAGAGACCATGCGGCCTTCCGATAGGCCACGCAAATTGCGTGGTTGCCTTGGAAAGCCTCGTACTGCCTCAGCAGACGGAGTGACTCGGTGCTATGCTGGAGAGTCTGGGACGGGACGGGCTTCGGCATTTGAGGCGAGGCCATCCTGAAGAGGACTGAAGCCGAAACAGACATGCAACTGGCTAGGAGGCCCTGCCAGCAGAGCTCTGAGTCTTCTTGCAGTCGCAGGCATTCCATGATACCCGTTTCGGCATGTTCAACCAATGTGTCTGTCATTGCTCCCTTGCGCCCGAAACGAGGTCTCAAGCACTGCAGCCACGACCAACAGCACATCAGGTGCTTGCGCCATCAAGCGGCTCTAATAATCCCACGTGGCCCAGCACCTGAACCGGATCCTGCCAGGATTTGCACGCAGAACGGGTTCGGCCACGGGGACGATTAAAGTCTCAACTTCACAAGCCTTAAGGAGGAAATTGAGAGACCAAAGTTTCATTGCCATCTGCCACAACCTGACCGTGTCGAGGGCATCTTCGGGTGGGTTGAAGGAACTCAAGGGTTGTGAAGTCCTCGCACTCTTGGAAGCCCATAACCTGAGCTCTCCACACGCAAGCTTCCTTCGAACAACGCTCCAACATTTAAGTTGATGTTGATTTGTACTATGTAGCGTGTAAAGAAGACTCAAATCTTGCACATAGCCGGTCGGAGCTGTGTATGCAAGGCACCAATTCAATCAATCGATTTCCACCCCAGCAGTGTAATAATGTAGCAAAGCTGCATCATACGGCGGAGTGCTAGTGTCCTGGATCAGGTGTCCGGCACTGTCACCTCGTCCGTGCTCCACCTGACGGGAGCAGGGCCCAAGCTTGGTAACTTCTGAAACGGCGACCATCTGAACACTTCTTACACGTGACAACTTGACTGTGTGAACAGACAGGATGGGCCTTGAACAAATGCCACCAGAAGAGGTTGAAGGACAACACCTGACGTGGCACTTCGATTCTGCGAACATGCCCATCAACTAGCTGCTCCGCTAGTACCTGATTTGTTTTGCCGTCTCCGCAGGCCCTTGGCCTGAACCGTAAAGCCTCAAACCAAACGCTGGTCAATCCTCAGCCCTAAACCCAAATCCTTACTCCTGCAGGAAGATTAAGGAGACGGTGGTTGGCATGCCCTCAACCATGATCTTTGACTCTGGGCTCTGGGCTATCTCATACCCCTCTTCCGCTGCCGTAGGCGCCTGAAACTGACCCTGCGACCTGTCAAGCAAGAAGATGGCAACTGTTGCAGCACCAACCGCCGAATCACCCAGGACTTGAGCCCCAGATCTTCACAGTCTATGTTTGAACCAGGGTCAGGTATCGCGACAATCGACTGTGTTGAGAGACAGCTAACGTCTGCCATCACCTCCCCAAACACCGCCCCACAATGCTAAGATCGAAGCAGATGTAGGTGACATTGGTTAGCAAACCCCCGTAGCCCTCATAGGAAAATGTTGAATCAATCTTGGTTGCAAACCCTTGGGCCTACACATTGGTTGGTTGAAAATTCCTTAACCCTGAAATGGGAGAGATATTGGCTGGCAACCCCGATGAACCCCAAAAGAAGCGCTGGGTCCCTAACCCCAAAAAAGAAACCCTAAAGCCAATGATTCATAAGCATTCGCTGGCATCCCCCAAAAAAGGATGCTGACCCCCAATCCTAAATGCAAAGAGGGAAAGAGGGGTACTTTGGTTAGCAAATCCTTTAAACCTAAAGCAACATGGTAAGGAGATGTTGGTTGGTTTTGGTTGGCAGACCCTAAACCCGAAAGGAGATGTTGGTCCCGAACGCCCTAACCGGAAACCCAAAGAGGAGATTTTGGTTGGCAAACCCCTCAACCTAAAAGGAAGCTGTTGGTTGGAAACCCTAGAACCTAGAAGGGGGTGTTGGTCATTTACCCTAGACATCAAGACGGAAACATTGGTTGGCAAACCAGTTTCGCTATTGGAAGAGATGTTGGTGCCTGGATCTAAGCCCCAAAAACCAGGTGCGGACTGATGCAGGATGGGTAGAGTAGGGTCGGTGGGGTTGGCAGGGTAGGACAGGGTCGGGGTGAGGCAGGCCAGGTAGGATTCGGATAGGATATGGGAAGGGGACAGGGTAGGGTCGGGTAGCGTGGGGCAAAGTGGCATGAACACGGGTCGGTGCGACCAGACGGGCTGGTACTGCGACAGGCACAGCTCACGTAGGGTAGGCTAGGGGCAGGGCAGACTGGCATGGGCATGGCCAAGCCCATGGCACCCAGCCCTGCCATATGCCCAGGAGCCCATGCCCCATCGCCGGTCTGTGTTCCAACCTCGTGCAGATTGCCATACCAAGACGCGCTGACGCAGCAGCAACGCGGGTCTGGGTATGGGCAGGGTTCTGCGGGTCCCTCTTGTCATGTCATACCATGCCACCATGCCATGCCATGCCAGGCCATGCCAGGGCAGGGGCAGGGGTGCACGCGCGAGAGCACGTGAGTAGGGCAAGGCAGGGCGGGCAAGGAACGGCAGGGCAGATGTGTGCGAGTTGTTGGGACAATGTTTGCCGAATAGCGGGGCCACGATGACTATCTTAAAAGCAAGCCCCAAATCCGAAACGGATTTGTTGACTGGGGCCCTCAAGCCCTGAAACGATGAAAGCAGACCGTATCACAGGGTTGATAAGGGCCCCTGTGGAGGGGACCCCTGCGGGTTGCACTTTGCCGAATGTGTGGGTTTGTGGCCCAAATGGGGCCCAATGGGGCCTAATTGGGCCTTATAAGGCCATTCGGCAAAGTGCAACCCACAGGGTTCCGCTCCATAGGGGCCCCTTTTCAACCCTGTGACCCTAAGCCCTAAACCCTGAAATAAAAAGGTTGGCTGGCAAACCCTAAACGCGCAAGAAGATTCTGGGGCAGACTGGAACGACGGCCGCGGGCATACTTACATGATACTACTGTCAGGCTTACATGTTGACCAAATCTGAACATTCTGTTGAATTCAGTTCTGACGTAGTATACTCAAGCCCCAAAGTTAAAAGCTCTTGCTGCTCTCTACGGCACCAGGCCTTTATCTCAAGGCTGGCCCCTGCTGCAGGCTTCCAGAGTTTTGGGGCCGGCACGTAGTTACACCCGCCCTGAGCAGCAGTGGAAAGCCAGTGGTTCAACTCAACGCACTGACTTAATCAATGTCTGCAAAGACTACTGAACCCACAGCCCCCTAAATCTCGATGAGTGCAACTTCGCCAGTGATTTCGCAAATTTGCCTCACGTGAGGAGCTATGTTCGATTCAATTCTTCATGCATCCGTGCTCGGCCTTCGACAGTCACTGCCCAGCAGATACAACATTCGTGACCCAGGCTCGAACTCGAGCACCCACTGCCATCTGCGGAAACGCTGCTATGGACTGGAATGTTTTGCAGGGCAGGGCTGTTGAACACTTATGTCCCTGCGACTCGACTGCGAGGCTTCGATGCCAGGATGCGGGCGGAGGGACCGAGCACGGCCGAGGGCACTTCGGGTGCCTGCCAAAGCAAAAGGACGTCTCATGTCAGAGAGCCACAACGGTGCCGGCAATCTGCAGGGCATTGGCCCAACGCAAGGGATGCTACAGAAGATCCCTGAAGGCTGCCTCTTATCCGAAGTGCCTTGAGAACTGGGGCGAGGCACGTGCTAGGAACCCTGATCATAGATGCTTTCTCTTTCGGACCCTTTTGCTGCCGTGGTACGTAGTGTTGTATGCCACGAATTGCCATTCGGATAATGGGGAGTCCTCCGTCATGCCCGGGTACCAGTCCGGATGCTGCGGCATTCCCACGTTCTTGCCCCACATTATGGCCTGGGCTGCGAACATCATCTCAGTTGCATCTTGAATTCCTGAAGCCAAACCCGATGGAACCACTGGGCAGGAGATCAAGAGGCTAGTATACTAACGGGAGCACTGCATCGGCAGTACCTTTAAACAGATCATCGGACTGAAGTCGTGGTCGCCAAGCTTCCTCCCAACAGGCACCGCCGTCTCCTCGCAAGAACTACTCTGTGCATCGATCAGCAACATGCAAACCACGGTCCTGGCTGGATGTCATGGCAGCCGGTGTCTACCGAAGCTACGTCCTTTCCAAGGTCACTCTAAGCCCGCTCAGCCTCTAAGCGCTGGGAAGACGTGAAAAGCCCGGGCCTGGCTGCGCTTCGCGCTGCGGAGGTGGAGGGCCGAGAGGGCGCAGCCTTCCTCCAGGCACTCGTCGTCTGCCTCTGCCCCCAGCGCCCCAAGACCCGAAAGAAGCCGATCGCACCCTCCCTTTCCCGCTCGGAGGCGCACCGACAACTCGCTGAGCGGTGCAGCACGCACGGCAGCCAAGGCCAGAAAAGCTAGGAGTCTGCACGGCATCGCAGATGTTTGGAACCCTTCGAGATCAAACCGGAACCGCGGTTGTCCGGTTCCGAAGCAAGAGACGGGGGACAAGCGCTTTGAAGCAGCTAAAGAGGATAAGGGCAAGAGTGCGCTTGAGCCGAGCCGAGGCGTAGCATCACTCTCGCACATGGCACCTCCCAAAACCACTGTCGACTCATTTCCAATTCGTCCAGCAATACCACTGACACTACATGCAATCCATCCCCATCCGGTCTAGCTGATGCAGACCTCGCCCTGCACATGCAGACACAAAAGTTTTCTGGAACCAATTCTGACCTCCACTATGCAAAATCATGCACCTACGCTGGAGAGGGTATCCGCTCAGAGTGGAAGCGCAACTGCCCAGGGTATCATAATTGCTCAATGCTTAAATACTCAACCAAAGCCGACAGCCCATTGTGTTCAGAGTCTTCGAGCAGCGTAGAGTGTCAACACTACAATTCTCAGCGTGCTGAAAATCCCAGAAGCAACATTATACTGACACCTGCAGACGCAGTGTGGCAAGAACCGCTCATGCTCACGACGAATTCGCAGTGCCTCCAGAATCTGTCGAGGGTGTGTGGTTGGGCCCAAAGGAGCGATCAGCGCTGCATCGATCTAGGACAGGCAGCAAGACAGCAGCGGCGCTCAGTCGAAGCAGTCGGCTGTTGCTTGCTGGGGCAGCTGCGACAAAGTCCTCTCCCCTGCTGCCTCAGCCAGTACCCGATGCAACATGACCCATGACTTGTACCGACAGGGGCTGGCAGCAAACTGCCTTTGTGGTCCCCGCGGGTGCTGAAAAACAGCATTGCCCGACCAACTCCCCACGCGCTCGCAACCAAAAAACTGGGCGTCTGAAGAAACTCACGGCGAATACGTGTATACCCCCATACATACATACATACATACATACATACATACACACACACATACATACATACATACATACATACATACATACCTGCATACATCCATGCATACATACGTACATACGTAAATATGTACATCCGTACATACCTACATACGTACATACGTACATACATATGTACATACATACATACATACATACATACATACATACCTACATACATACATACATACATACATACATACATACATACTTACACACGTACGTACATACATACATACATGCATACATACATACATACGTACGTACGTACATACATACATACAGACAGACAGACAAACAAACATGCGTGCATGCATACATGTATACATGCATACATGCATACTTTCACTTCACCGCTGCAAAGTCGGTCTCTGCGAGCGCAAGCGAGGACAAGCGCATGTGCCTCGGCACTCCGTGCTACACATTGTGCATCCCCAGGAACACACCCCCTGGCTGAGCAAAGGCATCTCATGAGAAAAGAGTGGCCTCTGCACAGCTCGAAATCAAGAGAGGCTCAAGGTTTCCGGTCCTAGGACCCAAAGCAAAGCGTTAAGCTCTGCTGTAGACGAAAAAATAAGAATCAACTCCTGAACCACTCGACTCGATAGCAGTGCACGGTCTAGCAACAACATTATCATCAGCAAGAAAACGCTCTGCATCCACATAGAGAATCGCTTGATAATGCCCCGTGTGAAGACTGGGGCCACGGTGCACCACAAACGAGCAGAGCTTCAGTCGTACTGAGCGGGTTGGCAGACCATTGGTGAAAACAGGGAACCACACAACTCTATCTAGAATGATATCATAGCCCCATTTGCTATTGGCATGCCCGGCTTCGTCTTGGCGAGATCTCCCCGCTTGCACTATCAACACTCGCGGCTCGGACAATGCAGCATGAACATCAGCCTGCTGGGACCAGTCATCGATAAGCCTCTGCACCGAAGTCCCAACCCTACCACTGAGAACCCCGTTGGATGGGGCCAAATCCCGAGTCTCCAAGATGCCTGATTCTTGGGTGCGGGATTCCCACCGCATTCTCCGCGACTGTACCATGGTGGGACAACACTCTGCCATGCACTGAAGGAACTCAGCAACATCATGTTGTTCGTGAGGCATAGACCACCTACCAAACATTGCACGCCAGAAAGGGTTGGCCCAGATCGCGATCGGCCCGGGGGCCGTCAGAAATCCCCTAAGGAGGCCTTGCAATCGTGCCGGCTAAATACTGGCGGCCTCATCCCTTGTTGAGCCCACAGCAACATCAGACATTTCGTCAAGGCATTGGTGTAGCAGTGGTTCCTTGGTCAGCTGCTGGCTTGCCGCGTCCCGGCTTGGGGCCCTGCCTTGACCCTTGCGAGCTCCTTGAGCCTGCGCGATCCTTTGTGCAAGAGGGCCTCTGCGCCTTCTGGAATGCCGCATGTATGCCCCTCCCATAAGCCATACCGCAGAGTGGGCTAGATCTTTGAGGTAGTGCCACATCTTGTCCTCGGCCGTCCTGAGACCCACGTCCAGCATGAAGCTCATGGTCGGGCTCTCGTAGTGTTCCGCCATCTGACGAGTTGCATGGAACCTATTCACCGCCCTGGAACAACATCGAAGTAAGCCAACACTTCACCTGAAGGCAGTACTTGGGCTGGAGCTCCGTGTTCACATCGTGGCGCTTTTTGTCTTGGGTTCCAGCCCATTCCACTCAGGGTCTTGCCGTCCTCCGTCAGCCATCCCATTTTCTTGGTCTTCTCGATCTTCTCCTGCGAGGCCATCATGGCATTGTACCGCTCCAGGACAATGAGGAGCAATTTTTGCATGAGGATGACTCTCATGGGTGCTTCTAGCTTCTCCGGTGTGGCAGCCTTCACTTCGTTCCATTTGCGACCTGCCTCGTACAGATTCGAGCCCAGATTGCCCTCCATCTCACAGGTCTGTCCGCACGAAAGTCATGCACGATGCATCTTGGGCACTGATCGGCAATTGGTTGTCGTGCCTGAGCACCAGCGTCGTGAGGAGGTCCACCCACTGCAGCTCCTTGAGCTGATTGTCCGCTCGAGATTCCAATCTTCTCGGCTGATTTTTGCATGCGCCGCACCAATGTCCATTCCTGCTGGCCCGGGGTGGCCCTTTTAATTGGTCGCCCTGGCCCTTGGCGTCTGGGTGCCTCCACGTGGTGGGGCGAGGCCCAGGCCACTACCATGTTGGCCCAACGGAAGCGGCTTCCCACGTGCGATTCTTGAACACACAAAGGCACCACAGAAGAGCCCTGCACATGATCTGGGATGAGCATCCCGTCTCTGAAAAGGAACTTTGCAGTAACGACAAGGACTGACAACACTGACACTCGAGGTCCTCACAAACTCAGTGCAGTCGTCAATGAGCCGGGCTTCGGCGGAGTGTTTAGCCTTCATGTGTCGCCTATAAGGTACTGTGGAGAGGCCACCCAATGATGACATTCTGGGCAATGCTGCACATTCTGGGTCACCAGCGTGAGCAGCAAGCTCCAGCCAAGTACAATCTTTGGCTGCTTCAAGTATTTCTCGGCGTTCGACCAGAGCTTCGTTCACCTGTCTAGTTCCAGGCCTGGATCCTGCTGAAGGTACAAGTTCCGAAGGCCCTCACAACTACGGGAGTTCACATGGTAGTAGAAGTTGGGCCAGTTGTTGAACTTCCGAGCAGCGCTTATTCCGTCCTTGGCATGCTCCATGTGAGCTCCACTGTTTTCGGCGTTTTTCAGTGGTTTGACGCTCCTCCTGGGCTTCTTCACTCATGTGCTGGAGAAACTGATGTCGTTTGCATTCAGCAGCAGTCGCAAACAACTGCCCACATTCTGTGCACTCGAAGGTTTCATGTAACACATGATCCACCGGTTGAAACCGAAGGACGGTGTTGTGCAGAGAGCTAGGTTGAGAAGCTCAGGCATCAGTCACATGTGCTCTCAGAATGGCTCGCCACTGTAGCTGCGCAGGTCCCGGCTGCAGTTCCGGACCCAACAATGCGCATCCAGTTGAGTTCTATGCTCAATGCCTCTGTGCATCAATTTTTTGGATCCGTCGCCGCCATTCTCTTCATGAAACTTTGATTGGTCTCCCTGGTCAGCACGCTGTGTGACTTCGCCGCACTTCTGGCCTGTTGGATGAATATAAGGTCACAATCTGCTTGGCCTCCATTCCGGGGATACCCGTGCAGTCTAACCCATGAAGAAGACAGGAGGGAACGCAGGCTTTCCAGAGCCTCATCCGGGGCTGCAGTGCCACCGCTTGGCACTTCAGAATGGAACGAAGCCGTGTCTGTTGGGCCTGTGCCAGCTGCACTCTTCTTTTGACAATCTCATGTTCGAACTGGCGGTATGATACGCAGACTCCCAGATATACATGTTGGGGAACAGTTTTGATGTCCACATTCTGCTGGCTGATGCGAAAACGCATGAACGAGCCTTGGGTCTTCTCCACAATATACTGAGCATCGCTGCCGCTTTGGAGCCTCGGAGTTCGACGATTAGCACAGTCTTGTCCGTGCTGACCTGGAGTTTGTGTGCCTCGAGGTGGACGAGCACAGCCTTGACCCCTTGGTATAGGCCTCCTCCAATGCTGCACCAGTCTCGATCACCCAAGCAAAGTGGAAGTCGTCTGCGAAAACCGTCCCTCTCTTCGCCACTGCAACCTGTCCGGGTCTTTGAGGATCCAGCCTGAGTAGAGAGCCCAAAGAATGGGCGAAAGGCTACATCCTTGCCTGAGTCCCTTGCGTATCTCATCGCTGAGGTCACCATGGTTGACCCGTAGTTCTGCCTAGTTATGTATGGCAAGGACCACCGCTATCAGGTCTGGTGGCACCTGAGCGTCAGTCAGTGCCATGCGTAGATCGTCACCTTCGACACGTCGAGTGACAACTGCAGACCCCCACAATGCTTCTCTGCTCCCTACCTTGCCTCGTCGTAAAAGGAGTGCGAGTTTGTTGGGTCGCAAGGGAGCGAACCTCTGCACAATGAGAGATGACTCTCTCCACTGCCTGCTGCAAAGAAGCAGCGATCTTGGCCATTGAGGGCTCAGCTGCGAAAGAGAAGTGAGGGCCTTCCCAGGTTTTGGAAGAAGAACTCGCCATGCTCAAATCAAGACCACCGGTCCTGCTTGGAATACCATTCGGTGTCACCGTGGGGCAGAGGGCCTTCCAAAGAGCTGCCGACTGCGAAGGCATTGATTTACCAAACTTACGGATGGCCCGGTTGATCTCTCTCATCAAAGGTGAGCTCAAGAGGAGCCTGCAGTGTCTCCTGAGCAGATGGCCCCGGACCACCATCCTTGTCAGTGTCGTTGAAGTCTCTGCCTTCTTTATTTCGGGGCGAATTTTCTTGCCGCCTTGGCGAGACCTTCCTGGACCTTGGAGGGTTTGAGTGTGCCTGGGTCTCCTGGGCATCGGCACCGAAGCTTGTACGGGAAGGTGCCTGCATCCCGTGGTCTGCACACACGGCGTATACGAGCTGCCTGGTCCAGGAGGTTCTCCCTGACGAGGATAAAGTCTATCTGGGCTCCCTTCGAGGAAGGGCCTGGACATGATGTTGCTCTTGCTGAGGGCACACTGAGTTCGGGACAACACCATGGCCACAGACCGGTAAACTCGTCTTTAGTATCCTCTGGAATGAGAGTGCCATGTCTCAGTGGTATATATGCCATGTGGAGCCATAGCTTAGCTCGCTGCTTGATGAGGTGCTCGGCTTTGTGGGCCTTGTGGGCCTGAGGTAGAACCGAGCGCCCCATATTCCATGTTGTCTGGTACACGCAGAAGATATCCAGGAGTCTCACATGCAAAAGCCTTCCTGGGATGTGTTCCAGGGGGAGCAAACCGGCCCTGATCAGACAAAGAAATCCGGTTTTCGCTGGCCCACCTGTATGAATGGCATGCCAGCGAGAGCCATGCGGGGCCCCCTCCGCCGTTGTAAACTCGAAGTCTTCTTTCCAGGCGGTTTTCTGCAGGCATAGGATGTCTACAGGCTCCCTTCTGGCATCCTCATCCCTCAGCCATGTGAGGATTTCCTGATAACGAGTTGTGATGAGAGGCCTCACAGTTGTATGTCACCACTCGTAGTCTTCTGCCAGGTCGACCTGGCTGCAAAGATTTTGGAGCAATTCCCGATGTCGGCTGACTGTGCTGGGGTTCTCGCTGTAGCTTGTGTAGTTGGAATCGTCTGCCTCTATACCACGTAGTGACGTAGTGTGGTCTGGTCCTTGCAGAGCCCGCTGTATCGCTCTGCAATATGCCCTCTTTCTAAGTGGCTCCTGAAGTCTGAGTCTTTGAGGCTGCCTGTCACAACGGCTATCACCGGGTGACTTTGCCCCTGCATGGATTGGTAGAGCTCTTTGTTCGGCTCCAGGTTCCTGTGGTGATCAGGGAACCCAACCCTCGCATCTGCCATGGCTGCACGCACATCTGGTAGTAGGCTGAGTAGTAGCAAGAGAACAGTCTGGCGCGTCTGCCTCCTTGCTATGCAATGGCTCCGGGACTTGGGACCCGGACGGTCTCCATGTCTTGGTCTGGAGCTGGTGTGCCTGCACAGGAGGCTGTGGTCATATAGTCATGGTAGTCCATGGCCACATCTTGGCTGTGGGGACCCGATTTCTGCCTGTGCACTGGTCCTGCTTGCCCATGTCAGAGTCATTTTGCTGTGCACACAACGGAAGGACACTGGCCGTGCGTTCAGGCAGGTCGTGGGTCTGTACCTGGCCAGCCACATGGTACACACTGATATAAGATGACAAAGGCTGCGAAGTGCACGTGCAGGTAATCTTTATTCGCTTGCATCTGTTTTTCTGCATGTCGGCTGAAGTTGGTGCCTGCCCTCGAGACTCTGCACACAGCTTCACAGCTTTCCCTGCTCTTCAGGCATTCGCCTAGGCGCACTGGTGTGTACTGACTGAGGGTGCAATCCTGTGTCCTGGACTGCAGTAGCACATCGACTGGCATGTATCAAGTACTCACTGGGTCTTCCTCTGGGAACCATGTCGGCCACTCCTCGTTGAATGGCGACGCCGGTGTTGGGATCGGCGGCGCTGATTTCGAGGGATGGAGGTTCGGGGTCCTCCTTGTAGTTGGAGCTGGGGCAGTCATCGTCGTAGGAGGCCGGGAGCGGAACGCAACTGGGACCTCAGTCGAGACCCCAGCCGGAGCTGCGGATTCATCTTCACTATGAAGGGCTTCAAGCAGACGGTCCAGCTCCATGTCCACCATTGCTTCCTCCAGTTCAGCTTCCGAAAGCCGTGCCCATTGGGCCGTGGCTGTTGCCGCCGTAGAAACCGTAGCCTTTGCTGAGACCTCAGTACCGTGTGTTCTGTGCGCTCCGTGTCGCAGCAGGCAAGTCCTCTGTCTCCGTGGGCGATGCCAAATCCCACAGTAGATCAGGATGGAGATGGAAGCCATGCCTTGCCAAAGCTGTACTTCCAGAAGCAAAGACTATTCATATTCCAGTCGTCCAAAGCCCGGCGAAGTGGACTGGAGCTTGTCCTCCTCTTCCAGATCAGATCGATGTCGGCCGGCTCCTCCCCTGCTGGTCGGCGTTGCTTGCAGGACCCGGTGAGAGCTTCGGCCCTGGGGCAGCAGCGTATCTTCTGCGGTAGCTGCTTGACAGGCGCACGCTTGGCTTTCACTACCCGTTTGCTCGGTGAGGGGGTCTTTGTGGTGGCCTTGGTCTGGTCCTTGTCTCCATGTTCGGGCGTGGGAGTGGTGCCAAAATGCGCTGCACCAGGCGAGGTCATGTATGGATCCCTCCCTGCCATCTCTGCCATGGTCTGGCCTCTGCTCACAACCGCAAGTCCTGTCGACGCCGGAGGTGTCATGGGCGCCGCCCCAGTATGACGGCTCGGCGGGGTCGTTGGCGCAGCACCACCAGAACCATCGAACTGTTTCAGCAGGTTGGCCAGATGCGTGTTGGCTCGTCCTGAGTTGGCTGCATCTTCTGATTGTTCCGCAACGAGTGCTGGATTCCCTTGGCTGCTGCCTCCTGGATCAGACGGTACGCTTCTTTCTGACTCGCTTGTATGCTCTGTATGTCTTCTTGCAGCCTCATCACATCCTGTTCGAATCTGATTTTCTCCTTTACATAGGACTTGCGCATGTCCGCCTGACCAGCAATGTTGCCTCTCCTTGAGCTCGGCCTAAAGCCTGAAAAGCGAACATCCATCTTCCTCGCAGGGTTCACGGCTCCCTGCACTGCCGCACCAAAGAGGGCACAGCCCCCTTCCGAAAAGCGACGCTCCTGCAGGGGTGCAATTGCATCGGTAGCAGTTCTGCGAGTATCGTAAGCAGGGAAAGGCAGCTGGGAATGTTTCCCACTGCCGACCGCCCGAATGACCACGATCTCGAGGGGAACGCCAAGAGCCAGACCACTAATCCCAGCGCTTGCCACCCCCACCATGCTGGTCTTCTTTTGCTTGCCATGGTCACTGCTGATTGTTCTTCCCCATGGAATAACTTGACTGTAACTTCCTTTTCAACCACGGACACGTGCCGTGGTGGTCAGTCAGGAGCTTTTTGCTTCTAGCAGAAATGGAAAGCCCTTGCCTCAGTCGGCTTCTCGCCTTCGATCGCTTGCTATCCGCGCTTCTGCGGTATGCTGAACCCTACATATACATACATACATACATACATACATACATACAGTCATACAGGCACACAGTACATACATACATACATACATACATACATACATACATACATACATACATACATACAAGCATGCATACATACATACATACATACATCCATGCATGCTTGCATGCATACATACATACATACATACATACAGACATACAGACATACAGGCATGCAGTCATACAGGCACACAGGCATACAGGCATACATACATACATACATACATACATACATACATACATACATAGGAAAACTATGTATACATATACACATCTGCATATACATACCAACATATGCATGCATATACATATACATATGCATAGGTGTATGTACACATACACATACATAAGAAGTTCATACGTATACATGTACATATACATACTCCTTTTTGCGCGCCTGCTTCTGCCAAGTGTCCCAAGCGGCGGTCGCCGCTGAAGTGAAAGAAAAGCCAGTCTGACTGGAAAGAGCCCTGCCGAAGAACCCGAAGGAAAGGAGGTCCTAAACCGAAAGGGAAGGGGCCAAGGAGGAGGTCCTAAACCGAAAGGGCAGGAGCCTAAACCGAAGGGGCTGAAGCAAGGGTCATCCGCAAGGGACGGGAGGGCGGGGCCCGAAAGCTGCGCTTAAGGGCAAAAGACATGCTGATGTGGAGTATATTTGCATATAATATACATAGATATGTACGGATACGTATACATTTGCATATATATATATGTGTATATATGTATATTGCATAAATAGATACATACATACATGCATGCATGCACGCATGCATGCACGCATGCATGCACGCATGCATGCATGCACGTGCGCATGCAAATTTATGTATGTTCATACAATGTACATATTTTACATGCAGACATATAAAAAAAATATATATATACATACATACATACATACATACATACATATATACATATCAACATATCTACATATCATATACAGGCACACACAAAAACCTATCTGTCTATCTATCTATCTATCTATCTATCTATCTATATATATATATATGTACAGATGTGTGTGTGTGTGGGGGGGGGTCCGACCGGGGCCCGCTCGGCCCTGTTACAACAGAGTGGCCCCTCCGGCCCGAAGGCTTAAGGGGCCAACCGCGGCCCCCTCATCCCTGCTTGATGCATCACCCAGCTCTCCGCGGACCCGCCCCCCCAACCAGAAAGAGCAAGATATACTCAATCCGGCGGGCTGGATGGAACACTTGGCAAGACAGCCCGCATCATTGACCCAAAGCTCTTCTCCTGGCGATCCCTCGCCAGGATACTAAGCAAAAGGATAGGAGCAATCTAGTTACTCTAGAGTCCACCACACTCACGCACATCACGCACCGGCAGCACATACGGGGTCACCTCCGCCAAATGGCACAAGAAGCCACTCCCCTCAAGCTGCACACGTCACATGTCAATCTAATGTACCCTTGGCGTGTGGGTGAACACCCAAAGCTTTGGGCGCCCCCCTGGACAAAGGCACATAGATGTACCGATTTACATACGCACGTACATACACACATATTACATATTCATCTATGCATATATGTCGCTACAATTGCATTATAAATACTTACATTCGTGGACACATCAAGCAAACTTTATCACTCAGTAGATATGCGAGTACCTGATAGCGGGCAGCGCAATATACCTAAATAGACCCAAGGCAGCGGCATGCTTCTGTGTCACCACACCAGCATACCCGCAGGGGCTGACTGGTGCGGACCTCATGAAACAGGGCCATGACTAACCCCTTTCGTGACGCTCTTCGTAGCATGTGGCAATAGACTGTAGAATGTAGAATCTGCCGATGTCTTGATGTCTTCGATGTTCTCGCCTTGACATTGGTCCACGTCACGGAGTCGGCGGTGATGCGGTGTGGGGCGCCCGACGGCCTTGTCCGATATGTTTCAAGGAGCTTCAGTGCCTCTCCCGGGTTCACTGACGCGGTCGACAATGCGTCGGCCCGTCACCAAGACCTGGGCACAGCGTCCAGCTGCTCGTTTTCGATGGAGATGCTGAAGGCCTCGATGGAGTTGCTGAGGAAGTGAGGAAGGTTTGGGAAGGTTTGGGCTGCTATGGCACTGCTATGGCCATGGCCAGGCCTGCGCCTCCATGCTTCCGCACTGCACGGTCGCCGCGTCGACCAGTCGAATGCGATCACTAGAACCTGCCAACATGGATGTGGCGCCGGCAACAGGGCCATAGAAAGCCCTCAATGCGGCTTAGTTGCTGAATCCAGCCAGCTGGCCGCCTTTGACTGCGATCTCCTTTCAGTGCTACTACAGGCAGGCTGGATCTGCATCGTGAAAGTCCCGTGTGTCATTAGCGACTCAGAGTCTAAAGCTGCGGTTTAGTCTTAATACTTGACGGTGGACTGGATGTAGGAAGCTGGAGCAGCAGCTACATTGCCGGCCTTGCCCCTTTTTGATGTAGCCGGGCTGTGGGGCTGTGTGCTTCCGTCCTCGTAACTGCCAGTCTTGATTGTGCCAACGTACTGGATGGGGCCTGTCACATGCGAGAGCGTGTTAGTCGTTGCATCTAAGTCCAAAGCTTGCACCGGCGCACAGGGCCTCGAATGTTGACACGTGCAGCCTCCACTCGAAAGTCCTCACACGGAGAGTGGCCCTGGCAAAGCCTGGCAAAGCTAAGAGAGCTCTTGAAGTCCTCTCCGCGCTCGCACCGCAAGCGAGTACCATCGATCCTCGCACCCTGGCACCAGCCTAAGTGGCTTTCTGAGGCCTCCAAAAGACAAGGTTCCTCAACATGTCCTCCCATCTCCAACGCCCAAGACCATCCAAGAGCAGTACCCTGCTTGGTTTATCTTGGTTTACCTTTGCCTATGAGAATCATGGAATCCTCGGAAAATCTCTGTCGCTGGGGTGCCAGCATACGCGGAAGCTGCCAGAGGCTCGAAGTGTTACGTTCACCCAAAGGCTGAAGGACTCGTTGCCCTGGTACCGCCGCCTGGAGGCTTCGAGGTCAGGCTTGCCCACTTCCCAAGATGTAAGGTCATGGCCCCATCAAAATGTCTCGGCTTTGAACTTCCTCGGCCAGGACCTTGCAGAGCGGCGCCCCTCCAAGCGCAGTAGCATCCGCATCCTGCGGAATCCTGCTTCCTTCTTCCAGCCTCTGCACCGGGAACGCCACAGGGCTGCGAGTCGTTCACCTCCCAGGCAGGAGATACAGAAGCGATCGCGATCTTCGGCTCTGCAGAGCCAGGGCCGCTGCCAGGCGCACGCGGTCGAAGAGCGAGAGCTCGTGGCCGGAGATGGCCAAAGCCAAGGGCCGGCCGGGCTGCGGCGAAGCGAAGATAAGCGCTGGACGGGAAGGGGAAGCTCAAAGCCGCTCTGCCCAGCCAGAGGCCCCGACCATCCCTTCGACGACTTCGGCATCATCGATACGGCTGTCCGGTCCAACAATGCGAACCTAAGAACCGGTCAGGTCCACGTCTGACATCACAGCCCATTGCTGTGCCATACCCACCTATCACGTGCAATAAAGCACAGTGAGGTGCCAGCAATTCCGGCATCATGGATGAAGAACTCTGCCGCATTGCAAGGCGTTATCTGCCCGAAGACCACCTTGATCAAGAGTCGAAGCACGCTTCCAGGATTGCCGACTCATTCAGCTTCCACCGAGTCTGCCAGCTCCATGCTACGAGTAGTGGCAGCGCATGCAGGAGATGCTTTGAAGGCAGCGGCACCAGCAGCACATCCTCGGCGCTCGACAGCATCCTTCACGCAAAAGCAGAGCCGATAGGTTCCGGTGCGGGGCACCTGCCGCAGGCAAGATGTGGCAGCTAAGCTAAAAATCCAGCTTGTAATGTTGAACATGAGTCGTAAGGTTTTCGCGAAGAGCTTGAAGTGAACTGGCAAACACCCCAGCAGAACAGTCCAAGCCACTGAAGGTGGTCCAAAGTTGAAGGTCTTCTGGGTGAATGATGGCCTTGCAGGTAGCGCGAGGCTTGAGCTTCAAGGTTCAGCAGGAGTGACACTTCTGCGCGAAATGCACCTGGGCCCCCTGGGCACACGACGAGGGGATCTCGGACGTCGGGTTCATGGCCAGGCCCATTTGGAACATTACGCCAGGCTGGCACGGAAGTAACGGCATGGGCAGACATTAGATAACGCACGTGCCGGTGACTCGTTCACATCGTCTCCCTCGACCATGCATTCTGCTGTGTAGGGGCGCCCGTGACAGGGTGAGGCAAGGTGCGGTTCCCATCTGCCTGCCCGCAGCTTTGCTCCATAGGAATGACGGCCAGCTTGTTGCCAGGAAGCAAGCCATTTCCCATGATCGTCACCTGAAGAGGCTTCTGCCCATTCCCGTTAAGAGCCGCAAACACTGCAAACTCTGGAAATGCAAGAAAAGAACATCAGAAAAACAAAAAACACAACAGGTGGGGGTGAGAGGCTGTGTGCTTGTATTTGCATTTTTGCTGTGGTCTCTCATGGTTTATTTGCAACGGTGTTTGTGTTTTTCTGTGTTACTTGTGTTGTGTTGCTTTGCATTTTTTCTGGAACCAAAAATAAAAGAAACAACACAACCAAGAACGAGCCTGAGGGACGGGCACGTTTGTTTTTGTCTATTGTTGTTTTTGGCTTGTTACCTGGGTGCCGCGTTCATGGTTCACTTGCTTTTATTTGCTTGTTATCTATCATTTTGAGATATCTCAGAGATTGCATGTCTCCTTTTCTTAACCTTAAATGTAGCCGCCTGCATCAAAGGCTCCCACCTCGCAGGCCAATCCATTCGTACAGTAGCCAGAGTGATGAACGCCGGGACCTCTGCCGGGTGAGCGATGGCCCCTCATAATTAGACCCGAAGATCGCCTTGCATGCTGATTGCTTGATCATGCCGGAGGCCGGTGCCTATCTGGCTGAAAATCAGACGGATGCGGTTGTTGCCGGAATCTGCCACGTAGATGTCCTGCGAATGTGGTTCCATCACGCATCCCAAGTAATGTAATCCTATCCCCCTTTTATTAAATCCCCCCCTCATAATAAAAATACATTGACCCAAATCCACC